GAATGCAAAATGAAGCAAATAAACATAACAGGTCTCTCTCTCTGTCCCCTCCCTTCCCGCCAGCAAACGCCGAAGTAAACAGATGCGCTTGGCAGCGGTGCAGAATAAATTGACTTGTGATTTGCTTTGCACTTTGGCACTCTCGATGTACAAAGCTCCTGTCAAATCAGAGGGCTTGGGTCAGGGGCCCACTGACAGTTGCAGACTGTAATCCTGACTTGTTTAGGAGCCGTATGTGTCATAACGTAGGAAAAAGTCCACGACCACCATTTATTCTGTTTGAATGAGAGATTCTTTACTATTTCTGGCGTGTTCAGGGTTATCACGAGATGTTTTCAAGGCTGGAGGGTAAAGCCTCTGCTCCCCAGTGTCTTACGTTGATGGGAAAGTGTGGGACTGGTTCAGTAACTGACCTGGGCGACTAATCTGACCGTGTTAGCAAGGTGCCTCAGAAACCTGACAGTTCCTTATAGCTTTCCCTGCAATAAGATCAGAGATATATATTTTTATGGTGATTCAGGCTTTGTTGGCTTTCTGTTTGTAAGTAAGAATGAGGGGCAGGGGGGTTATAAGGCAAGAGGGAACACAATCCTGGACTGGTTTTGCATTTCAAGTGCTGGACGCATGCTCACTTCAAGGAAAAACAGTAACAACTATATTGTCTTTATCTCTGGAAATAATGCTGTCTTTCAACTGAGAGTGAAATAACTGAGGGCGGCGGCTTAGGTGACGGTCTATCTCCTTCGTTAAATCCTCTCTGGCTTCTTGCTTTGACCTGAGCTTGCAGTTGGGTTTAGCAGATGTTTTCCGTGCCTTTTGTTGAGCCAGGTGGGATCTACTCCGTAGCAGGAAGGGGGAAAGCCCCTATGGGCTACGGATGACGATGTTCTCACGCGGAGGAGGGAAGCCGTTTCTGAAATCATCCAGACCTCTTTTTAAGAACTGCCAGCCGTGGCCATTAAGCAAATCTGAGAACCTCTGTTTGGTGCTGCGTGCTGGCAAGCATCTCGATGACAGCTTTTCCTTGTACCTGAAACCAAAACCGTCCAGTTAGTGCAGGAAGTACTCACTTTATAAAGAAGTGTCTTTTAAAACTTACTCTGCTTGTCTTAAGAAAGCAAGAATAAAAGGCTCACCACATCTGGCCTGTGCTGTGACAGTTTAACTCCACTGTTTGCCCTGTGTGAAACAGGCACATGGGAGGGGAGTTCTCTGGCTGGTGTCAAAGCTGAGGACCGAACGTGCAGGACCACTCGGGCTCCAAGATCTCAGGGTGGGAGAAAGGAGCTGTGCTAGATGCTGCCATTCAGAAGCCAGGCGAGGGACTAGGGTACAAGCAAGGGGCAGAGAAAAGTGATTTGCCTGTTTTCCCATGAATACATTTAAGAGGGAAAAACTCAGGTCCAAACCCTGCTGTCTCTGACGGGTGCGGGTCTACTGCAGCTGGAGCTTCAGGAAGGAAGAGTGAACATGCCAGAAGGAGAGACAGGTGAATGAAGGAGCACAAGGTCCTCACCAGACCTCCCTGCCCAGCTGCCCGCAGCAGAAAGGCAGAGCTTGGGGACGCTGTGTCACTAGGAGACTGCATCCAGAACCACCTGCAGGGCCAAGAGAGGCTCTCCGTCACGTAGCTCATCCCCAAGCTCTCTCTGTTTTCTCTGCCCTGTCCTTGGGACGCGTGCCACACACGCTCCTCTTGCCTGTCCCCACGCTCGCTAGGTCTACCAGGACCCCTGCCAGGTGACACATTGCCTTCGTTGCTCTTGCAGATAAGAAAGCTGAGCTGAATTATGGCCTCTTCCCGTGTCAGTACAGCCAGGTTCTCCTTTGCTCTACTGCTGTGAACAGCATGGGCACCTCAGCTGTGCTCTCGGTTCCTCCTTGGGTGCTGCTGCACTTGTGCTTGTCCCTTGGCATGCGGAGGGTGTTCCCAGTAGTCCCGGGCTGTTTGCAGTGCTTATCAGCAACAAAACAAGCAAACCTGGTTGGTCCTGGAGCTGCTTCGGGACTGTATAGAAAACTGAGGGCTTGGAAAAGTTCTGTCAGTCTCCCTGGGCTCTAGCTGTCTATCCTGTAACAGCTCCTCCCATGACCTGAGGTGTCCTCAGGGAAGAAAGCGGGTGGAGAGCAGGACTTAATGCGCAAGAGTGTAAGATCAAGCGCCTGGTTGGTGAGTGTTGCAATCTGCATTGGAGGAATATGCAGTCTAGCAGCTATAACTTGATTTCAGGTCATAAAGCTTGGACAGCAGGAGATGTAGTGATTAGATGGGCTTGGCACTGCAAGCCAGGTCCTCGGCAAACGTGTTAGCTGCTGAGGTTATCCAGACAGTGCCACATGCCAGAGTCTCCCATACATTCCACTGCGTGCCCCGCAGCTTCCTATCCTTCCTTTCCTGGCAAGATCTCTGTTTCACAGCTTAGTGCAAGTCACAGCCCACCTTACACAGCCACTAGTGACATTACCCCACCTCACAACGTATTTCCTCCATCCCCCATCCCCTAGCACGGCTCCTCGGCCGCGTTCAGCTTGAGAGCGCCCCAGCTCAGCAGCGAGGGCTCAAGCATTGCTTTGCAGCAGTGGTGCACCTGAGTAAAGAGCACTTAGTGTGGACCGGTGCTTGACGCGGTGGCGAGAAGAGGACGGGGGCTGTTTAGGTTCAAGGTGAAGTTTGGAAGAGAGCGGAGTTGAGTGAGGAGAGAAATCTGGGTGAAGAGAACAGTGAGGAAAAGGTGGCCTGAAGCAATGCTCTGTCCTCCTACGCAGGTGGCACAGTTTGCCACCTCTGAGTCATGCAGAAGCATGCTGATGAGTCAGGGAAGCAGCAAACCAAACCAGAAGTAGCTGATGGGCGTGAGTCGCTGCACTTGCTAATTTTGGTATAGCTCAGATTATGAGGAATATGGTTGCGTATGTGTAATTTTAAAATGTATTACATGATCTGTATCACAATTACGACACACGTGTAGAGGTGTGTGTGTGTGCGTGGCTTACAATTCATGGGGACTGCGGTTATTTAGCTGGAGAGTGTCAAAAACAGGAGAGTCAAGCAGGACCAAATTTCAGAAGGAAGAACATTTTTGCTGCTGTTCTCATAACACTTGAAAGTATGAAGTTCCTCAGAAGCAAAAACAAGTGCTGTAGACAAACCTCTCGTCTCTTAAAAAGTCCTTGTCCCAAATCTAGAAGTCAAACAGCGTTCTAAATGCAAATCCCAGCCTGGCCTGTCTGATGCATTTACTTCGTGTGCATCCCTACGAAGCTAAACCAAGAGCAAAGGCTGCTGTTACACAAACAGTAACTTCGTTCACGGACCTTTCCGAGGTCGCTGTTGAACCTAGTAATTGCAGGGTTCCTCTGCCCTATAGTGAGCTACTTTCCTGCCAGCAGTTAATTTGTACTGTGTGGGAAGAATAAATTAAAGCTTGAGTACAGTGAAATTTGATCGCTACCCACTTACAAACCTTTCAGAAATTTCTCAACTCTCAGCTGAAATCAGTATCTTATAATTAGATTATTATTTTATTAATTATGCCTATAGCACTAGAAACATACGTAGTATGTGTAAAGTCATTGATGACAAGCATGTGTATTAGCTGCATGTGAAAAGCAGAAGAGCAAAGTCTCCGAAAACATTTTCCTTGTGGATTACTGACGCACTTGGGTGTTTCCTAAGAGCTGCTCCTCTAAGACTGGGAGTGTACTGCATGTAAAGCTGCTTCTGCTGTCCTCCTTGGCCCAGCCAGCCAGCAGAGGCTCTCTGTGGTGAGCTCTCAGGAAACTTGAAATGTTAAGGACCTGCAAGTTACCTGTAATATGTTTTATGTTCTGTTGACGAGCTGGGCTGAGTTAAACGGCAGCCAGGGGTTAAATTCCTGACAGTATGCAAAAGAGAGGGATGCCCCACCTTCATAAAAGCACCGTTCTTGATAACTAGAAGATGTCAGTCCCTGTAATATTTCCTTCTGAATTTCTTCTGCCGTATATTCCAGAGGAAAATACAGGTAGGATTCAGAAACATGGTGATGGAGGTGGAAGTCAACAGAGCGCCACAGATACATAGATGAAAGCAGACTGCAAACATTACGCAGCAGAAGGAGATGAGTGAACGAGTCTAGCAAAATTTTAGATAAGACAGAAACTGGTATTTATTAAGTAAAACACTTTTCTAGTTACAATTGCATTCTCACTGTGGAGATGAATCTACACTCGCTTCTGGAAAGGCTGTTTCACGTCTCTGTTTGCCTTCAGGTCACATCTCCTAAAGGAAGCAATGCGAGATTTGGATCCAGTTAGACCTGGTGTGAACAGGTCTGTCAACAGTGACAGCTGATTATAGCACTGAAGTCTGAAGTAAGGACGAGCCTGATTCCTATCTTGGACGGCGAAGACCAGAGATCCATGAAGTGACATGGATGCACACAAAGAGACAACGAAAAATATCCTACCCCTCCTATCTGCTGTTTTCCACCCCTCTGTAGGGGCCAACATAAAACATTCACTAATGGTCTAATAGTTACTAAATTGCAGGAATAGGATGAAGGATTTCTGGGATCTGTTCTGATTTGGCTGATACTGTGCTGTATGATTTCCTAATTCCTTCCTTGACAAGCCTTTTCCTTCCTTATGTGGACTCCAAGGAGCCAAGTGGTACACAAACTGAAAAAGCGGCATCGATGACTTCAGTAAGTAATGACTTTTTCTATTTCTTAAAGATCTTCCCAGTGCATGGGACAGGACTATTTCACCCATGGTTTAGTTTTTAAAAAAGGTTCTCAAATCATTTTACCACAGGGAAATCATCAGGAGAGGCCCTGAACTATTCCCCTGGGAGCATGAAGCTTGCCCGTTGCGTCATGAGACACATCTAGGGTAGCCCAGCAGTGTATGTGGCTGATGGGGCAGAACAAGAGACAGCAGCTTTCTGTGGCAGACTCCATGACTGTTCTCCTTCAGTTGGGTTTCTCCAGACCCTAACAACTCAATGTTATCCGATTTACGTGCCCTCCGCTCCCCTCGCAACTTTGTATTTCCGAAGGCATCCTGCTGGCAAAATGCATCCATTTTGCTGTGCTGCTCTCCCGCAGAACCCGACATGGTGCGCGCAGGCCTGGTGCGCCTGCCATCGAGCGTGAGGAATGGCGCTCAACAGAGAAGGGACAATCTGCCCCAGGGAACAATTTGCCTTTTGTTTTTTCGCTAGGCGATTGTCAGTGAAGCCCCAGCATGGGAGCTGGCACCCGCTGTGTTTTACAGAGTAGGATTTGCCTGTTATTTTCACCATATTTCTGGTGTTAGTGCAAGGCGCCCGCCACGGCTGGGATCCCAGTTGTGATGGGTTCTGTACAACAACAGAAAAAGAAAAAAACTGCCCCAAGGGTTTACAATGGAGATAAGACAATGGTGTAGCACAAGAGCAGTCATGAACTTCTGTAAATACTGTCATTTTAAGTGGTGGAGATTCTTGGGAATGGGAAATGAAATAGTAAAAAAGCAAAAGGAGTGGGGAGAAGGAAGATTAGTGGAAGGGGTAAGAAAGGAAGAAGAATGAGGACGTGAAGTCTTCTTTGGGTAAGCATATTTACACGTTTTCCTCAATGCGGGCCTTGTCTGCCTTTTCCCCTTGTAATGTCATCGTGATATCGGAATGGGAAGATGCGCCTCTGCTTGTTTCAGGGATCTGTAATTATGACGCAGTATTGTGCCTTGGGCCAGCGGTGCACCCACTGCATTCCCATGCTGCAGTTCAGAGGTGGAGTCACTCTTCATGGGAATGGTTTAGATGTATCATTGCCAGTAAGCAGTTTCTTGATTTCCAAAGGTAAAGTAATTTGCCAAAAAAAAAAGAAAATGATTCACACTGAGAATCTAGGAAATCTGTATGGGGAAGCAGTGTGGTTCTGTGCATCACGTGGGTAGATTTTTGTGAAAAAATAAACCAACACACTGAATTAAGCAAAACCAAAACTCTGCAGAAATCATTGCTTGATCTATAAATATTCATGCCAGGGTTCAGCTAAAAGAATTTCAGTGGTACCGTGGGCTGCAAAAATCCTTCATCTGTTGAGGTAGCAACCCAAATTTAGCCTTTGAAAAAAAAAGAATTGTATCTCCCATTTAAGATATCTCAGCTTGCTGAAATTCCTTAAATATTCCTGCCTGTCTTCTGATTTTCCAGGGTTTCGGTGCTCAGATAAAACAGCATATTCTTTAACATCGTTAATAAAAAGTGCTTCATGGCTGTGAAGAGTAGCTATGATAAAAATGGTTTTGCATAACTAGAGAATTGCTGTCTTTTCTTGTTCTTCTGTATTTCTCTCTGATTCAGAGACAAAGGACCTGGTCGGCTTCTGACCGACACTGGAGTGCGTGCATTGGGATATCCTCACTAAAAAACAGAAGTCACGGAGCAGTTGAACGACTTTAGGTGAGACAAGAAAGAGGTCTCCCTTCCACTGCTTCAGCAGCAATGGAAAATACGTTTAATGTGCTGCAGGAGGAGGCATCTGCTTGTAAAAATTATCACTACAGCGGGTCCCCACCAAAGGCCAATATTTTGTACTGTAAGGGAAGGTTTAGGGTTTCAGAGAGACAGTTCCCATGGAAGATTTTTTCCAGGGGGGAGAATTCTATTGCTGTATTTAAATTAGCCTTCAAAAACAGATTCTAATTATTTACTCTGTTGCTTGCTTTTTGGAGAGATGATGATGAAACAGATCTAAGAACGCCACTTGGGAGTGGGAATCTAAATGAAAACAATCTGCCAGAACAATCTCTTTTTTTTTTTTTTACTGCATGGGTGGAACCACAAAAATTCTGGTTTTCCAAGCAACTGTCAAATGTGACCTCGTAACCTCTCCTAAGCAAAAGGAAAATGCACATAGTAACTTAACACTATTACTGCAATTACAATTACAGGAAGTAGTATTTATAAAGAAAAATGCTTCAGTCCACCTTAGCAGGATATCCACCTGATGGTCTACTTGGTCTCGTCTAGGGAAGGCGTTATTTGGACCAGGCTGATGATGGCGAGCTGCCAGCCTCGTGGTTTGGAAGGGCAAGAGGAGAGGACACTGACTCATGACTTTGGAAACGCGAGTGCTGCCGGCAGCTTGGTTATGGTTATGGGACGGGGGCCCTGTATAGCAGAGGCTTTCCTTCCTTTTGTGCAACAAAACAAGGCTGCGATGGAAAGCAATTAGCGCAACATCCGTCGCTGGGAAAGCCCCTGTTGCAGGTGTCTTTCCCTCCTGCCCCGCAGCACACCGGGAGGCGGCGATGGGTGGGAAGCTGGAGCAATGGTGCTTGCTGTCTTTTAAAGGAGAAATGAGTACGTTGATTACTTTATTTCTTAGGAGTGGCTTAACTGTGTTAGTGGAAGCTGAACTGTATTGAATTATAGAATCACGGAATGGTTTGGGTGGGAAGGGACCTTTAAAGGTCATCTAGTCCAACCCCCCCTTGCCATGGGCAGGGACATCTCCAACTAGATCTTGTTGCTCAGAGCCCGGTCCAACCTGACCTGGAATTTTTCTAGGGACGGGGCATCCACCACCCTTGTGGGTACCCTGGGCCAGTGTCTCACCACCCTCAGCGTAAACAATGTCTTCCGAATATCTAATCCAAGTCTTCCCTCGTTTAGTTTAAAGCCGTTCCCCCTCGTCCTATCGCAACAGGCCCTGCTAAAAACCAGGGCAAAATCTGATCCCTGTGAAGCTTAATTCACTCTAGGGGCAGTTTGTGTTCCCCGCAAGTTTCTCCCTAATCATCTTGCTGAAGAATGATCTTTAAGGTCCCTTCCAACTCTAACCATTCCATGATTCCACAAAGAATAATAGCTGTTTTTCTGCTTGTTTTCCAGAAAACCTTTTAAAGATGCCGGCTGCATCCAGAGACGCGCGCTAGCAGATCCGTCCGCAGCAGACAGGAAGATTTTGGCCGTGCCCGCTGCAGCCCGTCTTGCAAGCAGGAACAAAACCCAAATTATTTTCGGGGAGATTCTTCTCTTTCCTGGTAAGCCGGCGACCAACCTGATGCCCCGAGCAAGGACCTGCCAGCCCTGGGGTCACCAAACACCCCCCACCCACCCC